ATAAACCTAAAAAAAATTATTTCTTTTACATCCTCCAGGTGCAAAATTTGATAAAGCTTAGTAACTTATGGCAAGCAGCAAACGAGTACAAAGTTAGTAACTAGAGGAGATAACTGTTTGCTATTCTTCTATATTTACTGTTCTATGTTTTAATATAAATACGTTTAAGAACATATTTGTAAATGGTAATAACGTATATACATATATAATATATTATAACTGAAATGTGACTGTATTTTACAAAATACTAGTTCATTAAAACACAGTCAAGACAGGTCACTTTGTAAAGGCCAGTTTTATGTTCTTGGACATGGTAACACGAGTGCATGTGCACCTCGTCATTGCAATTTTAGTAATGTTAGTGAGGCACGGCTGAAAGGTCAATATAATAAAAATTATATATATAAATGTGTAATGTTATGAGATTTAAGCTATTTAGACTAAACATTTGTGTTTTCATGTTATAATTTGTTGTCATTTCCTAATTTTTTATGGTGGTTACGAGGTTGGTCAAATTGACCAAACCCATACAGAGATACAATAGTAAAAATAACAGATAAAGTATAAAATATTTTCTAAAATGAAACATTTGATAATTATTTGGAGGTTATGAAGATTTTGCATGTGAAATTTGAAATTTTTCTGATGCATAAAAGTATTCTTAATCTTAAAACCAACATTACTTTGCATGTTGGATAGCCAACAGTTGAAAAGAAAAAAGGCATGAGAAAAACATTACTTATAAAATCTTACAACCTAATAAAAAAATCTGGTATTTTGCATACAAAAGCCTTGTAATGTTTATCGATAATATGCAAAATTTTTCGTAAAGATACACTTACTAATTTAAAAGTTATAGCATGAAAACTATAACAAGCACAAAATGATTACGAGGTCAGTCCCTGGGACCAAGCCCATGCTGAGAGTTAATTGATAAAAGTTATTACCCATGAGCAGTGATTAGATTGATTAGTATCCCTATAATTAATCAATTAATAAACCAAAATTCCGATTATAATGATAATCATGAATATAATCACCTAATCAAAATTAGTATTTCAAATTATTCCTGTTTTTATTTATTCTAACAATTAAGTAATCAAAATTACAGTTTTGAATTATTACTAGCTTCAGTTATTCCAATTATTCAAGTAACTGATATATTGCCAACAAACTAGCTCACCCTATCTTTGTTATAGCAAAGTTACTAAGGCAATCTGCCTCTGTCATAAAGTTTTAAGTGTTGACTATCCAATGGTATTTAAACTTTTCCTGTAAAGTCAACTGGCTGGTAACATCTGCCTCCAACCTCCCCCTATTCTTGTTGTTGATGATGGTGAATTGCTGAGTAAAGGGAAAGCAACAAGCTTGCACCACTTGCCACCAACTGTTGTATTTTCACTTATATGTACCATGGTTTGAAGAACACTGTACTAAACAGTTAATTGAATGTAATTGATTAGAAAATACCACTTATAATCCAGCTCTACTCATTTGTTGACATTCACTTGCAAAGTATTTATCCTACTGGAGATTTTAATAGTGTGTAACACACGGTACCTCTTCACTGTTAATGCCAATAATAAATGAAACTGACTTAGACACACACACACACATTCTTCTCCTGATAAAAATATCTTGATATTAAAATAATATATATTGTTTTGAAACAACATTGTTCATTTGCATTAATCAAGTTCTTTCACTATAGAGGAATGGCTGGGCATTCAACAAATACATCAACCAATAACATTCTTAAATGATAGGAAATCTGTTAAGAATGTATTTACTATGCAAGTTACCTTTTAAAAAAAAAGTCATTAAGTTTATGTATATATATATATATATATATATATACAT